TGAGCCATATCTGATAACGTCTCTAGCCACTGTGTCGCACAATCCCTCGGACCCCAACCAGGGAGTCGTGAAGGACCAACACAAGCCAGCCCTTTGCAGCTTTCTTCCATACCCTGACACCATGTCATACACTAACCACCTCTCCGCTTTTTCCAACCAGTCCCAGAGTCGGCAAATAATGCACAACGTGGAATTCTCTGGAACCACATTCGTAGAACATGTCCAAGCCACCGAAGTCGGTGTTTCAAGATGTTGACACCAATTGGATTATCGTCTCTCGGCCCGAACACACGATGCTGAACCTCTGCATTACTGACATGGTGTCGCCACTGGATGTCAGCAATCCTTCGGAGACAGCGGTGATCAAACACAGAGAGTCTTCTAACATCCTCAACTCGGATAGGCCAGGTTTCACAAGCATAGAGCAAAACTGCTCTCACCAATGCATTGTAGATCCGACCTTTTACAGCCAGACTGACATCACGAAGGCGCCAAAGATGGCCCAGATTGGCATAAGCCAATCTGACTTTCACTATACGTGCATTGATCTCATCACTCACGCCACCATCAGCACTTATGCAGCTACCTAGATACACGAACTTCTCGACTACTTCTATCTGCTCACCATCCAGGGTGAATACAGGATTAGAATCCTGCCAGTTTTGTAGAATTACTTTGCACTTTGAAGGTGCAAAGCACATACCGTACCTACGGACATTGATTGCCAACTGATTAAGTGCAGATCGCATGACTTGGGCATTATCACTGAAATAATATGAATCTTATTGACTAACCATTTCAATCCTCTGTCTTTAATTATAAGGATAGTAGATTGATTGGCCTGTATTATTTCATGAAGCTTGTTTACTAGTGAAGGTCCAGCTTCTCCTTGAAAGTGTTTACTGATGGAACTGATACTACTTGTTCAGTTAACGCATTCCAGTCATTGATCACTCGATGGGAAAAACGGAAGCTCACTCCAAGTTTATGAGGTTGCGGTTTTTTAACCTTCACGCTAAGGTCACCGAGATTATTAGTTCTAGAGGGAGCAAAAAGACAAAACATATTGACACCAAAATCGTTATTAAATATACGGAATGGCAATATGAGGTCACCTCTCATCGTACGATACAATAAGGGGAAAGGGTTCAGGTGTTTTAAGTGCTCACCATAAGAGAGCTTGGAAAAAACCCTTTACTGATTGTGAAGATTGACTAGTTGGAGAGTTTTCGATACAGTAATATATGAAGAGTGACAGCTGTTTTGTGAATTAGATTGGTTCTGTGTAAACGCAATTGCCAATTGCGAAATGGCAAACAGTATTCTCTGTACATGTAAATCCACGGGTTTCACACTTGTGAACCACATAACTGTACTCAATGAACAGTGTGCGCAGTCATATGAACGACTCTGATGATGAGTGTTTTTCCTTAATGTAGATTCTGTAGTCAAGTGAATGAAATTGATAGGAATGTAATTTGTGTGGATTGCGATTCATTTTTTTGTATTTGTTTCGACGATTTATTAGTTTTTCAGGTTTGCTGTGAGGAATTTTGCAATGATAAGAAGTATTTGAATTATTATACAAACTAGAAATCCCCAAAATAACGCAATTTAGACCAAGCAGAACTAGGCAAGCACAAACTAACGTATTGTGTTTAGAATTCGAAATCAGGCATACAATAAATACAAAAACAATCATTAGTTCATACAACACCACAAATTTTCGGTTTGTAAATTTTATCGAAATGTCAGCTGTGTGGATGAAAACGAAACGGCCATCCAGTGCTTCCAGGTTTTCAATGGTGGTCTAACATCAATCGGTTCATTATCTCAATCAAAATATTTATCTGTTTTGTTCTCCGAAAATTGTTATTATGTATCGTAGATTTTCCTATTTTTGGTCCTGGTATCAGTCTGTTTTTTAAGATATCCTAACTTATTCTAGATGAAATTACAAGTTTATCGCTTGGATACTTTCGTAACCATTCTAATCTTTTTTCATTTCATAGTAAAGTAAATTTGAATTAAGTTTTAGTTTATGTTAATCGTTAGGTTATAAAACTCTTTCTTTCAATACAACTTTGAAACCATTTGGGTACAAACAGAAGCAATGACGAAAATACAAAGCAAGGTATGCCTAATTAGGCACTTAATCACTGGCATTTGACAAAACAATTAAAGACAAAGTTGTGTACTTGATGTTAGGATGACTTGTGTCGAGTTGCTGAATATTAGCTACCTTGATAAATAACGAAAATTAAGAACTGGATTTATCGTTTTAGATTTACTCCATGTGTTGCTTTAAAACTCAGATGCTTTATTCATGTAGATAATATTAGCGGAGATGTTATTCGTAAGATTTTCGGTTTGAATAATAGATTGGTGTTGATGAGGTTCTTGCTATGAATCTTGAATACTGAGTGTGGTGATGTAATTAAAGTTACATGCCATCGCTTTTCAGTTGTTTTATTCAAATGTAACATCGGCTTTTGTGTTTGTTTGCTTGTCATTTAAATTTATCATAAAATAACTTATTAAGTAGATTTTGCAGATCTTGCCGGGGGTTCAGAAATACACAGCCATAGTGAGGGCACTATTTTTAATTTTAACAAAGTCTGTTTATTTTCAATTACGAGATACAAAAGATAGGTTCAAATGCATTTGATAAAAACATTGTTCAATGGTTTCATAAACTGTAAAGGAAACTGAAATTTACAGCCTCCCTGGAAATCCGCTACCGAATTTCTTCTCAGAGCTTGATCTCGAACTTATGACCATGGACACCAGCTCAAACTACATAAGAGATGCAGCCAAGGTATAAGCAACTCTCTACTTTATGCGTCGAAAACTTGTTTTATTTTATCAAAAAGACAGTCACGATATTCACGTTAATTATTCTTTTATACTTAATATTTTGCTCAGAATTGTATGTACACATTTTCACCTTTGTCCACACCTATACGATATTTCTCTTTACATAAATATGACACTTTCGCAGCATACACTCACCGCATACCTCTTTGGTGTTGTTTTCGAAAACAGGCATTTCTCTCCAAATTAATGTGCTATTTTATACGGGGGGGCCTTGTAGTGTCTAGTGTTATGTTATGCGTTATTCTAGCTTCCAGACAGAAAAGTTTAGTCATTATTCTTGGGTTATATCATGACCTTATCACTTATTAACCTCGATTGTTTTTGTATGAGCGTGTATTTATTGCTTATCCTACCTAGCACATGTCTTTCGTCTATTTTTAATGGTTATAAATATTGAGTTATGCTTGATCAAATCGAGTTGGTTCACTCGTCTTCTCCGCTACACTTTGCTTCCCGTTTCTCACTACCGCCGAAACATAAGCGGGGTTAGCCTAGGTAATGTACGGAATTAAATGGAAGATTTATGTTCATAGCACCTTTGTACAACTGGACTGGAGTCAGATACTGGGTTACAAGACATTTACCTACTTATATTCGAACGAAACGTTGGATTTACTTAAAATTCAATTTATGGGATTTTTCAAGTATTTTTTTTCTTCTATTTAGTTACATCGGTCTTCGGAAACGGTTAGTTTAAATTCGGGGTTGTATAACTCTGCACTATCCATATCTGTAAGTAAAATTAGGAATTATGTTGATTCAACAGATTCTCTTGTAATATCTAAATAATTTGAAACTGTCCGTCAATGAAGTGGTCCTGAATAAAATGAAGAAGTGATTATACATATGTTATTGTCATTGAAATTGTTTGAAATGGCTGCCACGTTATCAACATCATGTGGTCAAAGTTTGTGTAAATTGATTATGGTTGAGTTAGCACTACTCATAGATTAAAATAATTGATTTCATCCTACTTTAATTTCGAACTGCTCTTCGCTTTCACACCTTAGCTGCTAATTTAATTTGGTTTATTAACTATATTACTTGCAAATATTGAGTAACTCGTGTTATTTCACTCAACTTATTAATCTTTCAGTGCTATACCGCCCATGAAAACCTGGAATAATTAGACAGCCATTTCGCCCTAGTTTGTTGTTTTCTCAATATTCAATACTCGTATAACTATAACAGAAACCTACTCTGATTTGACTGCACATTGATGTTTTATATGCCTCAACAATGGAGTTTTGTATTGTATTTTGTCATTAATAGCATTAACGTTTTATTGATAAGTTTTCTTAGATTAAGATTCTGTGTGATTTAACCATCTTTCAGTCATTTTAACAACTTTTATTTCATCTAAAGTGGGTAAAATACATGGATCAAAACGAATGAAGTTAGTCTCAGATAACGTAAATGAGTAAGAACAGTCAGAACAACTGATTACAACTTCACCTTCACTTTAGATGAGAGTAACCATGTAAATCTTGCCTTTGATTATAATAACATTAGCAACAATGACAACTCTCCTGTCATCAACCCTTGCTCGAATATACTAAACAGATTGGCAACAAAGATAAAATGCCCAGGCAACAAGAAAAAGGGTGTCTTAAATCATAATTAAAAGAACTTAACTGTCGTGTGGTAATGTTAATGAAGAATCAGGTTTGGGTTATTAAGTTACTAAATCAATGTGAAGGTGATGACTTACTTGAACTATAATCACTTTTCTGGCTAGCCGACAAATTACTTAACAAGCATACAACTCTTATGATTTTAATTTAAATAATAAGACACTCAATTCGCTAGTTGTGATGGCTGATTTGCTCAAAATTGAACTAGTTAACTTTGACAGATTACTTTTTAAATTTGGACCTGTATAAAGGGATTGATGGTGAATTCTACAAACAAAGTTAGCTAAGATACCTGGTGGTTTCTTTTAATACTTGCCAGCCGAATCACCACTGTATTCAGAAAACATGAAGGGACTGCAGCTTACTATAAGACAAGATATATTCCAAAGTAAAGAATGATTCCGACTGGCACTATCCCATAAACTTACAAAGCATTCTAATCTAAGTAGGTATACATTGATAACTATATCCAGATGAGGACATTAAAGCCTCAATTCCATGATCTGTGAGAAATACTAGAAAAACAAGCGGCAGGATATATTTATAACTGTTGAATAACTATTGCCATTTGAAATTAAAATAATTTAAATGAAACGATACATTTCGATTTATAGACGTTACATTGTACACATTAACAGCTATAACGTGTTGATTTGTTTCTGTGATTTAAAAATTGCACAGCGATTGAATAGAATATGAACAAATATATTACTGACACCAGTACAGCATATAATATAAAATAGGAGGGAAGCATCCATGGAGAGTATTCAATTTTCAGCTGCTGGCCAATAAATAACAGGACCTAATAAAAATTTTAAATAGAGAAAAACATGCTCTTGATGTCACAGTAAACTACGAGAGAAATAAAATACAATTCTACTAGTTGAGGTTATAGTTTATAAAGTTCACATGCGCATGTAAACAATAGGTAGTTTCTATTTCATTGTTTTTGGTTAATGAAATTATCATTTAGCTATTTCAATCGTCTGATTCTTCTTTAATAAACGACGAATTTTTCATTTTACTCACTCTTTATTAAATAATTATTTTTTTCAATGGTTGAGATCATGAGTCAGTCGAAGCTAGACCACCATGGAAGCAGTGACCAGTGGAGTTCAACCGGGTCAGTTGAAAGATAGTAACTCACTGATGACATTGATAGATGTGTCGCTCAAATTCATGGATTAGTTGAAGTTAAACATTGACACCATCGGATGCAGGCTCAGTGGTCTAGCAGACAAGTGTTCGCGCGCGAGACTGGCAGGTCCTAGGTGCGAATCTAGCGAGGTGGGATCGTGGGTGAGCACTGATGAGGAGTCCCACACCAGGACGAACCGGCCGTCCAGTGCTTCCAGGTTCTCCATGGTGGTCTAGCTTTAGTTGATTTATGATCCCAACTATTACAGTAATTATCAGTTGTTCTACTATAATCGCACTTTCAGTTTTTTCTTGTGTTTAACTTACCGGTAAAACTGACAAGATAAAAAATGTTCCCATTACATGAAGTGCTACCTAAATAGAAAAAAAATAATCCCAGTGAAAAATGACGAAATGTATCAATGATATCCTGTTTTTAACTAGATATGCAAAATTACTCCCTCAGTATCCACTGTTACATAAATATTAAAAATTTAAAACCTGAAAAATATTCTCATGAAGCATAATCTTCAGTCGAAATCTATTCAGTGGGGATTCTAGAAAATGTCTGTTTATCAAACTGCTACTTAAAATACACTAACCTTGGAGTCAACCTTGTTGGAAGCATGGACTAAGATTATATCTGATACGCTACTGCAAAAAAAACAACTAAATAAACCATCATTTACATTCACTGATGCAATCCATCATGCAGAAACACCTCGAACAGTCAGATCTTTTTTCAACGAATATGTAGATATGATGTAACGCAACATTCTTATCGTGATTCGAATTACAAATAAAAGATGACAAAATAATTCAATACCTATATGCTAGTCAGCATTGGTTCAGCCATTTTATATCCTTTGTACAGACAGATTGACAGTTTTCAGGGAGAAATTAAACAGGATCTATGATACAATTTCAAACTAAACATGTGTTAACTGATTAACACTGTTCGTCAGCGTATGTAATCTATCGAATAATGGACTTCTTATGTGAACCAATTTAGAGTATTTCTTAAACTTCATTGAACATTTGAAGATATATTCTAAGAAAACAAATCATTCAGGATTGGTGGTACTGTGTTCGCTGAATTTCGCCAGTTAAAGCGAAAACCGTATTTGTGATAATATAGATAAACAAATAAAAACAGAGAAAAATCAGTTGGAATTATTCAGTAACTACTGTATCAATGTGGACAACAATTTCAATTATTCATTTTCATAATACTAGATATTTGGGTTATTGACAGGTGTAGATACAAACATCAAACACCATACGATATTACAAATTCACGTTTATCAATATCATTCAGTTAAAAATTATATTTTATGAAACGTACTTCTTTGTGGGTAAAATACAATACAACAGATATTGCAAGCCCTGTAATGATGAAACTGCTTAAAACAGTAATCAACAAAACAAAAGGAATTTTAACCTTGATGAACATCCCGAGTATTATCATTGAAAATGTAATAAATGCTGCGGCACTAAAGGATATCATTATATATCCAATTGTTATCCCTAGTATTGGTGGTATAAATGCGTAACATAATAACAGAGTCTATTATTCCAGCAAAAGAAAAAAAAACAATTTCACAAATGAGAAAATAGAAATTCATGAATAATACAATTCAAAAGAAAGCTTATAGTATGTCAGTACTTGTAGCATAGGTTTTATTGAAAACTTACATAGTTCATTACGGATTGGTTTTACTAAGTATGGAATAGATTTTAATCAGAAAAGGGTTTTTGTGGACATTGTAGTAATTTAATAGTTGAATTCATGAGTCCATTGAAGCTAGACCACCATGGAAAACCTGGAAACACTGGATTTTATTGATAAATTGATTACTGAAATCACTTTTTAAAAAATAGTTACGATTTCTACGATAACAATCATATCAGGACTTTGAGAGTTGGCTAAATGAAATCTACCACTATCATTTGTAGCTTTTGGTAATGCATAAATTTTTTATTTAGTAAAAGCTATAAGATCACAGACATCATTCTTCATTGCGAAACATTTGATTGAGATTGGTTTTTTTATCCGTTTAGCTGCATTAAAAGTCCTTTGAATAGATCTACTTAACTTAAGTTTTAACATTTCACTCGGTGCGTCGCCTCTGAAACCAGAGCTTTGTATCCAAAAGAAGTATGTTCAGCCACTCCTTTTACCCTGGCCAACTAGCTAATAATCAATCTCATAATATGGTGACGTAATCTGATTAATGTTCATTTTATGTCCCAAACTTATTATCATTACTGTTATTGTCTTTACACTTGATAACCCCTTTTTGAGGAATTTATTCAATATCCACCCCTGAATCTACTATATTTGACCTAATTATTTTACATATTACGTAATTTCCGATTTGTAATCACAATATTCTCTCTCTCTCTTACCCCATGTTGACCATATTTATTCTGATCATTTATCTCACAATTTCATTTCGCTTATAAACTGATTCAAGTTAACACTTCATATTAGTCAGCCTCAACATTAGCGATTTTATTTATATAACAAACAATTCCTGATTCATATATTACAATTTCCAAACGATGATGTATTTTGCCTTAAATCTGGCCAATTTTATGGATTATTAATCTGGATTTATAACTGTAGAACCTGATGAGAAATTATTGAAAAGAATATTTTTCGTTCATACTAAATTATTAGTTGAACACTTTAATGAAAGTTATAATTTGTACAAAGTATAAGAATCTAAGTGAAAGCAACGTCCATAAACCAAATGAATTTGTTGGTTGTATTTACAACTGTTACTTTATTTTTCAAAATAATTCAGTTATTCATTTTAATTCATATATATTGATTGTTTAGATTTTCTCACTAATGTTTACCGCTGCAATTGGTCAGTCTCTTTTCGTATATGTGGATCCTGTGCGGATTGCCTAAATATATAACGTTTGAAGCGAAAGGTACGAGGTTCGAGTCTCGAAATGAATATCAATTAGTGGATGCAGGTACATCTAGCCAACAAGTCCCAAGGTGGATGAAACACACACTCCAGATTTCACTGTTAACCACCATTCACCCCTGCTTGAATTTAATCACTATTTGGTAACATATGTCAATTAAGAGTCTTTAAAGACAGATTATTTTATATAAACGTTCAAACCAATTAGTTCATTCTAATATCATTTATCATTTGCCAATAAATAGAATATGGGATATTTCAATGAACACAATGTACAATTTAAATACATTAAAACTTACATTTAAAAACAAGAAGACATAATTAATTGGGAAACGTGCACGCATATCACGAATAGTGACCATTAGAAGTGAGAAAATTACGGAACTTGGTCTGATTTCAACATCAAATGAAAACATATTTTAAAAAGTTATAATTTTATTCAGTATTTTCTAAGTCACTGGTACAATGAATGAAATATCTAATTGAATTATTTGGTGTTTTCAATAATTTTAGAGAATGAGTAACTTAAGCAGCCAGCATCAATAACCACATAATTGTACTCAATGAACAGTGTGCGCAATCATATGAACGACTCTGGTGATGAGTGTTTTTCCATAATGTAGATTCTGTAGTCAAGTGAATGAAATTGATAGGAATGTAATTTGTATAGATTGCAATCCATTTTTTTTGGTATCAAAACTAGTTAATGTGACTAGATCAACGTCATGTTACAGAAAAGCTTTTCCAACTACAATGAAAGGCGAGTAGCTATAGCTTTCCACATAGTGATAAATCCTATTATCCTCACTGGAAAAAAAGCCTCAGTATCTATCCGATTTAGTTCATTTACCCATCTATTTAATTCTATTGGCATCTTACATTATTATCTTATGTACAAAATCAACTCTGTCTTTTCATATTACAAAGGTCATATTTTTTACACTAATTAACATGCACAAAAGTACACATAAACATGTTTCGTCTAAAATCACATTGACCAGAGTTTTAACTGGTCATACTAAGTATTTTTGTTTTGTTCCTTCGTACTATGTAATTTAGTATGCTTATTTATTAATTCGCTGAAGAAGTGGCCTACACTGAGTAATTAAACACTTGAAAATTTAATTTTTCAACTCATTTGGATACTTGATAGTTCAATGCATCAGCCAATTCAAGCTAGACCACCATGGAAAACCTGGAATCCCTAGACGACCATTTCGTCCTAATGTGGGCCTTCTAGGCAGTGCACACCCACGACACCACTCTTAAGGTTCGAACCCAGGACCACCTACCAGTCTCACGCGCGAACGCTTAACCTCTACACTACTGAGCCGGTATCCATATGTGTTAGTGTCGAAGTTCAACTAACCCACGAAATTGAGTGACACATCCACCATTGACTTCAGTGAGTTACTATCTCACAACTGACCAGCTTAAATTCTACTGTTCACTGCTTCTTATTAGAACTCCAGAAAATACCCCATGGAGACCGTCACTAGTGAGCATATGGTTATTGTCAGAAGGGGCTTTTATGGAGATTTTAGTAATTTTACAGTTATTACAAGTACATTACTAATATAAATCTAGTTAATGTTACGTAAAAATGTAAATGGATTCTAATCTTTCATTTTATCAATAAGATATATTTATAGTAACATCCATATTTCGAATTATTACAAGTTAAGTGGATGAATAATATCATTATCATACTATGAATATTAAATAGTAAGTGATATGAAGTGGTTACATATTGATAAATCTTCCTACTGAACTCTAGAATCAATTTCCCAAGTTTTTCTAATAACTCCAGATTAAATCTACACGATAACTTGAACACGAGAGAAAAGACGCGAAATATGGAAAGAACGCTTTACTCCAAGGCTACTTCATGTACAGAAAATTCAGGGTACTTATCACATTTCAGACGGCCTTGAGCCTCTATACGGTTCTGGAACCTTACTAAAGATAGTAGTAGCATGATGAGCAGCCGTTTAGTCAGAAATGTGACTCTTCACTTTTTAGATGTTTCTGAGAAACTTCTATTCAGTGCCGATCGGAAAAAGTATTTTTCAGTATTTTCAGGGCCCCTCTGTGCTTTTTCCGAGGAAAACTCTGGATCTCTCCAAAACCTCCCATCTTTCAAGACATAAAACTTCTCCTTCTTCCGGTGTACTTGCAGCTTGACAACTGGTTTGCGGTGGTGTTCCATTCTTTTTGTTGTCTTTCTTGTTCAAGTCTTCATTCTTCTATTATTTTCGGTATCTTCGGACATATGTGTCGTTGATGTTTATGTGTTTAACTCTAATGGTAGATTCACCTGGCTATCTCCGTTGTGCGTCATTCTTTTATCTTTGTAAATTTGGTTGGTGTGTCAGATACATGTCTTGAAGGCTCCTCGGACCCTATACAAAACTCTTCCCAATCTGTGTACATTCGTTACTGGTTCCAATAGATTCTTGCCGAGGTATGACTTGACGAATACTTTATCGTCCACACTAAAAATTCGGATATTGGGGTCTTGTCTGTGCTTATCCACTACTTTAGGTGGCAACGTAACGTTGAAAATAGTTCGAATACCTGTTCCAAATATGACTTAGTCAGGAGACTTCTCACCTAGAACAGTAGGGTTGGGAGTAGTCTTGTAAGTTGTTAAGAATTTTATGATTACCTGACTAGTTGCCCTCTCATCTTCTCCTTTCATTAATGCTATTTTAAAAGTGTCGACAACGATTTCTGCTTGTTCATTCGACCGCGGATGGTAGAGTGGAGAGCGTAGATGTGTTATTTCATATATACTACAGAAGTGCTTGAATGAGTCCAAAATGAATTGTGAGCATTTATCAGTCACCGAGTTCTCTGAAACTCTGAAACAACTGAACACAGTAGATAATTTGTTGATGGTTTCTGAGGCTGTACAGTTGGTTATACCATATACTTCTGGCCACTTCGTAAATACCTCAATTTGGACTGGACCAGTGGAATCCACATGAAGTCTCTTCCAGGGTTCAACAGGCTTAGGCAATTTCTGTGGTTCTCATTTCGAAGGATATCCAGCAGCTTGCAGACACGTTGAACAGTTGCGGCATTTGTTTTTGATATCTCACTCCCTTGAGGTCCGATAAGCGTAACTTCACTCCAGTGATTTCATTTTATTGATCCCAATGTAACTACTGTGGAACTGCTTGAGATCATTGTGGCGCAATAATTCTGGAATGACAATTCGATCACCGAACATAATACATGAGTCGATAGCCATCAGTGAGTCACGTCGACAAAAGTGCTGCAAAATTTCTCCTTCACAGCGATGGTTTGGTCATTTAGCAGAAAGATAACTCCTAACTTCTCTTAATGTCTTGTCAGTTTCGGTGGTTTCCTTGATAGCCTCGAAGGTGGCTGGTAGTCTATCGATTGAGTCATCCAATACACGATGAACTTCCTTTTCAGCTTTTGTATTTGCTACAAGGATGTCTTCTGAAGTTTTTGTCTGAAAACCTATTAGTCTCGATAAGGCATCAGCTTGCCTAAAAGCTGTAGTAGACTGGTATTTAATCATGAAATCGTAGCTCAGAAGTGTTGTTGTCCATCATTATAGTTTGTTCGCTGTATACCCTGAAGTCGCTTTCTTCGACCCAAATATGTCCAACAATGTTTTATAGTCTGTTTATAGGGTGAATCGCCGACCAAATATCATCATGTGGAACATTTTTACGGCAAAGATAATCAATAGGGTTTTTTTCAATTTGACTACAGTTTTGTCCTATCGTTATTAATGATCTGGCTGCATTAAAGATCGCCTTTCAGACCCATTGGGAAAAATATGAGAGGTGACTGCCACGATACCATAATTTGAAGCATATGAAGCAACCACCATAGGCAGAGATTGACCAAAGTGCTTAAGTAAGAAATTGGAGGCTGGCAGATGCTTGATTTTCTCGAAATCTGTTTGACAATTTGTCGACCGATCCCATTTCGCATTCTTTTCAGGTAGGTGGTTTAGTGGAGCACGCAGACGATAGAGATCAGAACGGAAAATTCCATAATCACTGGCCAATTTTAAGAAAGATCGTAGGATAGGGATGTCCTTAGGTCTAGGCATAGTTTTTACAGCTTTAACGTTCTCTAGATCTGGTTGTATTCCATCTTTATCTATTATAAAACCGAGGTACCGTACCTGTTGCATATAAAAGTCACACTTTTCTGAATGGAGGCAAAACCATATTCAGCTATGCATGCTAGCACCTGGTCAAGTTGCTTTTGCAAGTTTATTTTGTCTGCTCCCATGTGTGTGGTATCGTCCAAATAAGTCACCGCTCCTAGAATACTATGTAACATAGTATCCATAATTTTTTGAAATATAGAGAGTGCCGTCTTCACTCCAAAGGCAAGTCAGTCATATCGGGACAAACCCTTGTGTGTGTTGATCGTGAGGAGATCTTTACTTTCATCAGTTACAGGGGTTTGTAAATAGGCGTCTGATAAACCGAATTTTGCAAACTACTTGTCACTGTTTAGCTTGACAAAAAGATCTTTAGGTCAAGGTAAAAGAAATTAGTGAAACTCTAGAGTTTCATTTAGTCCATTAAAGTAATCTGTACATAAGCGAACGTTGTCATTGAATTTCTCGACCACCACTTTCAGTGCAGCCGAATCTGAGAAGTTCACGGGTTCAGTAACACCCATTTCCTAAAAACCATTCTAGTTCTTGTTCAACCACTTAAAGAGTTGCATCAAGTACAGATCTTTTAGGTCGATGAACGGGAATAGCTCCAAATAGAAATTTCAACAGTCATTATACTATGCAGTCCTACAAAACCTCTTGTGAGAGCACAACTGTCTATGTGACTTAATCACCATAATATATTGATAGTGCATTAAACTGATTAATGATACCTATATATTGCTATGATTTCCCTACATTATATTACATAACTACAAGTCACATAATTGATTGTTTATTTGAAATACTAAAACAATTTTGTGGATTAGTTGATGTTAAACATTAGCATGATTGGATACCGATTAGCTCAGTAGTCTAGAGGTTAAGCGTTTGCACACGAGACTGAAAACCCTGAGATCAAATCCCATGAGCAGGAATAAAAACGGCCGTCTAATACTTTCAGGTTTTCAATAATGATCTAATATCAATCGATTCATGGTCTCAACCAAATACTAAAAACAAAAAAGATTTTAGATAATATCAAGTTAATTTCTATCACTTACATTAAACCTAATAGATACCATTTATATTGATCAATGTTCTTACATTTATTACAACTAAAATATAATTCATGATTCAATTAGTTACAAGATTAAAACTTACAATTTACACATGAGTATTGTAGTAATAATCATTTCAATTAAAGGGAAACAAATAATGATAAAGAACTATGTATTTTATTGAAATCCATTAAATCGTTATGTTTACTTTTTTCAAATCTACAGTAGATGAGAATTTCCATTTGTTGACATGTTTATTATTTTGTTTAAATAACATTCTATTTGTAATGATCTATCTACAATTATCTACAATTTAATAATCAAAATTAGAATAGTAAACATTAAACATTCATTTATAGGTAATATTATTGATTCTATAGAGAAAGTATTTATAAACAACCCAGTAGGTCCTCGGTTCGAATCCCGCTGGGTGCGGGATCGTGGACGCGCACTGCTGAGGTGTCACATACTAGGACGAAACGACCGTCCAGTGTGTCCAGGTTTTCCATGGTGGTCTAGCTTCAACTGACTCATGATTTCAATCTGTGAAATTTCTAAAATCTCCACAAATCCCTTCTGATAATCATGAAAGATATCAATAGTTTCAAGTATCTTACCACTGATTATTCACTTCTAAATGTTTGTATGAAGTCATCAGATGATACATAACAATGTAATATACTTTACAATTGATCGACCACTAAGTGGTGATCAATGTCATGTGTGTCAATTCCTTCTTAGTGCAGATCGAATGCTATCGACCAAGTTGCAATGTGACCACTAGTCTAGATGACTCGACATTGAGTGCACCATGTTGAGATTAGATGGTGGTTGGAGGTAGTCGACAGGAAACCATGGACCCGGTTTTCCTACTATTTGGCACTCGTCAGCAAGGTGTACCTGTAATTTTGAGAGAACTGGTGCTCCCTGGAGAATTTGATCTCGTGTCACCCAGCTTCACAGTCTGAGACGTTACCATTGGGCTATCCGGGCCGCGACAACTTCCTGTAGGACTGATATGTAATCACATTTGATTGATCACTGGGTGGTGATCAATGTCATGTAACGTCTCTCAAGATTTCAGGTACACCTTGCTGACGAGTTCCAAGTAGCACGAAACCCGAGTCAATGGTTTCCTGTTGACTACCTCCAACCACCATCTAATCTCAAACGTAATATACTTGCATATTCTGAGTATTTTATATGAAGCATATCTTTAGTATTGTTATAACTTGTGGCCTATATACCCTGTTGATGTATAACGTAATGATACCGCCAATTAGAAAAAAGTGAATTATTGATCGGACCAATGACGCCTAAAAACCCGTACGAGCAGTCTAGAGTCTTTTTATCGGTTCTGCTTCCCGTCTAGCCTAGCCTATTAAATCCAGAACACCATTCTTAGCCTCTGTGATATGAATTATTTATTTCCAAAATACTGGGTTTATATACCAACCAGACAGACCACATTGTACCATAAAATAGGAAACAACATTTGTAGCCGAATGTGGCTGTGAATTTGGGAGGTAGTAATTGATAGAGAGGGCATAATTTAAGTGTGCTAAATCGTATAATAACAGTTCATAAGTCAGAATAAAGCTTATAGTAAGAGGGATATGAATATGAATAGGTTAGTTACATAACAATTATACGATATATATATAAATGGGTCCCAAAAGTTACCATTCATTATTCTCATCGGGATATAACAAGTATGTAATGAAATTCATAAATATTTCAACGTAATGTGACAATATCTACTATTATGAACATGCATCTGGAAGGAAAAGGTGGCTTGTTTGAATATCTGGGCTACTTGTTGCTGCCATCTAGATATTTCAACAAGTTATCTATTCCCTTATTTGTTTTAATAGATCATTATATCAATTAATTGAATAACCTATTGGGCTGTGTTTGTGAAAAGTTTACGACCTTTCACTGTACAAGTTACAAAAACATACAATCAGAGACATCGTGATAACTAGCAATGTACACTGAAAGGAATGAACACTATTCAGATATGGACTTCTGAAATGTTAATATCTCATTAGAGATCATTCAATATTTATCATTAAGACTGATCAAGAAATAAGAAACAGAATCACACTGAAATACTTTATGCTGAGAATTCTATATTGTATCAAACAATATAATACTGAATAAAGCTGATAATAAATAAATAAATAAGAAATACAGTTATCTACTCACAATAAACTGAACTGATTAATGAATTACCAATATTGTTCCATATAAATTTGTTAACAACTAAACTTCATTATTCGTTATGCTTATGATAAACACTAATTTTAAAAAGATTTCCACTTTAAAATTTAAGAGATAACAATCAATCAGGAGTGATTTTAGATGGAAGTATACTTTGTACTGTGTATTTTTGGTTTTTTGAAAATGGTGATCATATAGAGCTATCAGAATATACACTTCACTCTTTAAACATTAAATAAGACTACTTTTAGTCTACATAAAATACTTTGAATGACAATAACTACTTTTGAAAAGTCTTATAATGAAACAAAACAATTATCTAATACTCTTTGTTCTTTAATGTTTGTCTTGATAAAGTAAATGATGTAAATCATAGTTTACACTATGAAGTGATTTTAGTCAGTCAAATATTGAAATCTGGATAGCACTGGACATGTATTTTACTCTGTTATGGACATTTTCGACAATTCATTCACGACTCAATCAGGGTCCACGTTGAGGACCTTCATATCTCGTAGTGTACAAGAAATATCACTAATGAAACGGCGATCGTACTTGTGAAATTTTGCCAACTGACTAGAGTTAAATGCAGAAACCACTAGATACTGCCTTAGAAGTGTAAGGGTCAAGCACTCGCTGAGAAATTTATAGATCCTGGGTTCGTAATGCACACTGAGAAGTCTAATATACAAGGCCGAAACTAATGTTCAATGCTTCTTAAATTTCAGTGTTTGTCTGACTAACATCAATCTGTGTTGTAAGCTGTGAGAAGAGCTAAGCTATTGAACTTACTTGTCTCCGTAACATTCTATTACAGGTTGAATAATTTCAATAAACACCAAATATCAGTTAATAAAAGAGGTTCATAATTAACAGTTGACAAAACATAGAATATTTTCGAGTCATGTTCAACTTCATCACATACATTAACAACATCCTGAGCTTCAATAAAACTAGCGTAGAATCACAACAAAACTGTTAGAGTAAAACTCTTGGATTAAGTTCTCAGTAAATTTGATTTGAAGTGACTATTTTGATTAGTATTGATACAAGTATAAAATTTCATAACGG